CAATTTTTTTAATTGATGAAACTTACGAGTATAAATTTTATGTCATCAACAATAGTATAAATCTTGATTACGACGGTATTATTCGTACGGATTTTCTTAAATATTTTAACGTTTATATAGATTATAGCTCTAAGATAATGATTCTGTGCGATTACCAAGTTCTTATTATACGCGCTCAAGCTTTATCACAATAGAGAAGCCTTAATTCTAGACCACACTTTAGGCAAGGGTATTGAAATCGTGAATTGTATTGTATCAATAAAATCGAATAAAAGGTTAACATCACCGTTTTAAATACTACTGACACAGATATAGAAATTAAAGATTATTCCATATAATTAATACCTATCGACTGTAATAATTCTATTTCCTGCAAAAATTCAACATCTAGTAAATCTTAGTATTCTATTTCTACTTCTAAATCTGATTGAATAGATCGAGTACTAAGCCTTTTACGATGCTCTCATCTCAACGATGAAAAAAGAATGTAATTTTCAATTGCTGTTCCGATTATATGGATATCTTTTACCTCGAAGTTAGGTAGATACGGGTAACGCGGCCCCAGTTCACATAAAATCGTATCGCTTCCCTGAGTTTCACAAGGAAGAAGTCGATACACAAATTCGCAAAATGTTAAATCAGAACATAATTTGTCCTTCTGTTTCGCCTTGGAGCGCCCCTGTATGGGTAGTTCCGGAAAAACACAGACGCTTCTGCCGAAAGAAAGTGGAGAATAGTCATTGATTATTGCCGCATTAATGATATCATGGTTTCCGAAAGTTATCCGCTATCTCTTATTACTAATATCTCATACCAATTAGGTCAGTCCAAATATTTCACAACCCTTAATTCTGCTAGCGGTTTCCACCAGATTAAACTGGACGATAAGGATGCTTCAAAAACGGGATTTACTACATATATTAATTCGAGTACGTCTGATCACTATAAATTTACTAAAATGCCTTTGGGTTAAAAAGCGGCCCCTCTATTTTCCAGCTGCTGGACTCCAACTGCTGTGTTTATCTAGATAATTGTATAATTTATAGTCAGAATTAAAATTAACATATTGAAAATTTAAAAAGAAAAGAAGACCAACTTAAAAACAAATAATAAGATAATTTCAATGATTAATTTGATGGTTAACATCAAGATTAAACGAATTAATAAAAAAAATGGTGAGACGAAGTTATCCAAGATAAAGTGAATGGTTTAAAAAAAATAGAAGAAACTTAAGTCCTGCAAGCCGATAAAAAGATACAAAAATAATCTGAAATGAACAAAGAACAAATTAAGAGATAACATCGCACCATTATGTTTTTTAATTCTATTTGGAACTTCATTTATTTAAGATTTTTTTCAATGTTGTTTTTTCTACTATATTTTTAAGAAAGTTATGTGTTCAATGTTCTGTATTTAATATAAGATTAATTTGAAAATATCTATCAGATACTTCACGATTCAACTGATTTTTCAATATCGTTTTTACTGTATTTTAGAAAAAATAATCATCACAAGACGATTTTATATTCACCTTTATTTGGTTTCAGTTTTATATTATTTTTATTACTGTATCCTACAAAAAGTATGCATGAAATAATGTGATAGATTACATTTTTGCGTACTTAATTTCACCATTATTTATAGTTAAATAACACTGTGATATGTACATTGCGTTGTTTTTTTGTAGCCTTTTAATATTAAAATGTATTTATACTTGGGGAGTGCTTTCAGCCGGGATGGAAGATGTGATTTAGATGTGGACAGGCGTGTCCCTGCCGGAAACAAAGTCAATGGTGCCCTGAATGCATTAGTAAAAAAGGCAAGGCGTGGTGAAGAGTGCACGCCTTGCAATACATAATGCAGTGTTGGTACCGACTTTGTTATATGGCAGCGAAACCTGGGTATGCCAGAAGAAGCATAAAAGCAAGTTGAATGCAGTGGAGATGCGATCTCTTCGTAAAATGTGTGGCGTTACCTTAGCCGACCGAAAGCGAAACGAAGAGATTCGCAATATGGCAGGATTGAAAGATGACCTTATCACAAAAATTGATAGGGGCGTACTCCAATGGTTTGGGCACGTTGAACGAATGAGTGAAGACCGAATGGTGAAGAAAATATATAGAGCGAAAGTAAATATTAAAAGGTGTCGAGGTAGACCGAGACTAACTTTCGAAGACCATGTGAGCAAATTGCTCGAAGAGGGGAGGGTCAAGAGTACTCGGATACCTAGACGTGCATGTATGAAGAAGTTAATGAACCTGAAAGAAGCGAAAGAGGTATGTAAGGATCGTGACACTTGGCGATCTGTTCTCTCTGGCTACCCCGTTAGGGATTGTGCGTGAAGATAAGTAAGTAAGTAAGTAAGTAAGTATACAATTTTAAAGTGACTTATAAACACTTCGCTATTGTAATAAGTTTTCTTTTCTTTTCTGAGCACAATAAAAGTTATATATTAACCTACTTAAAATGTTCAAATAAATTAATATTTTGTTATCTAAACTTGATAGTAGTTGTAGTGATTTTTCAATAATGTGTATACGATAAAATAAACATCATAATTAGAGCAAAAATATATTTAAAATAAAGCTAATGCATTTACGATGTATGCAAAGCTTATATTTAAAGCTATCATTTTAAGATACATGCTGTATTTATATAACATATTATACAAGTCATGTATTAGGTTATCATAATACTACGTATTACTACTAATAATTACGTCCTAAAGACATTTACGTACTTTAGTAATTAAAACAAATGTGTCACAAAGCGCTTACACGACTGGGATTACGACTTTTATTTTGATCTTTCTATTGTTAGCCACTGATGACTTATTATGTTATCGTTTTGTTTCTGTGTTCTGTTCATTTTAATATGTAATGTAGTAATTTATTTTCGGATTTATATTGTTTGAACTTTTAAATCATAGGCTTTCAACTATTTATTTTACAATTTCTTGGAAAATAGTACAAATAGTTGTGTGAATTATGAAAATATTTACTTCGCTTAATATGATTTTGAAACTCATATTATGTATAAAATTAATTGATTTAAATTTGTCGTGCCCATGTTGTGAGCGTCAATCCCCGACTGACAAATAATATATCTAAATACTTTATGAGTTTATATGATATAAATCTGATTAAAACTACTTTAGCCGATTTTATCGCGGACCATGGGTGCTGAAGAGCACCCGACACGTCGGGAATTAAGAATAATTTAAAGATAAATGCGATAAATTCCGTTAAAGTAGTTTTAATCAATGTGGAGTATTCGCGTAAATATAAGAAATCATTATGATATAAATTTGTAAAAGATGTAAGTAAACTAATGTATAAGTAACGGAATACACAATTGTAAACGAAAATATTGATGGCGTATAGTTGTGAGAGTAAATTAAAGAAAATTATCAGAAGTTAGCATATCCATATTATACAATCAGCCTAATCAGCTGAGAGTTCGGAAAACCAAATAATAACCGTAATAAAAAAACCAGAATGAATTCTTACTATTGAGGAAAATGAGAATTTACTAAGAATCGTGTAGGAGTATTGTCTATTACCTTGACCATCTATGTACGCGAGCCATGTACGTGAAAAAAATGGCACAATTCTTTAAGGAATAGCTAAAATGCTATGGGGTGAAATGAAAATAAATAATGGTTTACCAAGAATGAGGTAAATGTATGAAGTGTTATAAAAAAGAGAATTATATAAAAATAAGAGAATTAAAATATTATAATGTATTTTAAATATCTGGACTATATAAGTGATAAAATGACAGAATGAGTTAGCTAAATGGCTAAGATATCGTACGAATAAATTGTAACTGTTCGCCAATATATTACGTAAATTAAATAATCTCTGATTTTCTCAAATAAGTGTAACTCTTAACAATACGTCGACTTATATGTATAAGCTGAATGAGGCCTGTTTAAACCTAACTTGATTTACTAGTAATTTGTTTATCAGATAGGATTTTTTTATTTTTAGTTAGAGTAGGAATAGTATATTATGTAGGTATCAAAAGAAATAATACTATATTATTTTCTATGATTTTGTTAACGCAGTAAAATCCTTAGTCAGCAATTGTAAAACACTTTCTATGTTATTTTTGATTCCATTTTAATGATCAGTTAGACTCAGGGCCCCGGGTAGATCATCCATGGTTTCCGAGACGTCTTAAAGTTCGGAAGTCAGAAACAATATCAATTTTGTGTGTGAACTTTTCTAATAAACCTTTAGGGGTCACTTAGTGGTTTTTTAAGTCAAACGGGAACGGCCTCTTTACATTACGATCGTAATCAAAGATGCAAATCTCTATTGAGTACCCTAATTAGTCACGCGATATGGCGCGAGCGCAGGAACACAAGGGATAAGAAGCGAGGGTTTTTTAATGCCATTTGCAATTTTCAAAGCAATTTTGCCGACAGTAAAAACTGTCTATCTCTGTAAACAGCCATTGTTAAAACAATAAAAACCCGCGTTAAAGAACATATAGCTGATGTGAAGAAGTGGCGCTCCAGGAATTCTGCAGTCTGTGAACACGTACAGGATCGCCCCCATCACTACATCAGATTTGATAGAACACAAATCCTCGCTAAAGAACACCGATTCCTTCCAAGGATGCCGAGATTGAAATCAAAAAACATCCTAATTTCAATAGAGAAGATGGCTGGATGCTACCATCCGGCTAGGATCAATATTAACCCAATCCGAAGCATACAACTGCAAGACTTCAAGATACTATAAGTTTGCACTGCATATATTGAAAAAAAAATTAATAATTTAATCTGTGGTAACCACGGTTAACTATGCCATCTAGACGTTTAACATCTCAGTCTCCCGTGTGACCATGGGTTCCGTAAAGTGCTCGAAACGTGGGGTATTTAAAATTTCAATATACGCGATAAAATCCTTAAAAACTGGTATTATTTAAACATGTTCTGACTAGATCACGTTCACTTTTGCAGACAGTACATCCATAATGTGATAGATGGTATGAAGACAGGAGACGAGCCGTTGCCGTCTACTAAGCAGCCGTGGGGAGACAGTGATACCAGTAACATCACCAGCAAAACTGAACAAAAGCCCGAGGTAAGAATTTATACTCGCTCGACCACTGACACCAGTGTTTAGCTGATGATTTTTTTCTGTGCATGGTAGAACTTGAAGATTTTTTCCGAACCAATGATAAAACTATAAATGACTTCAATACCTATTCTTTTAATCTATATTAAATAAAACACATAACCCTATTACATCCTATCCCATACCATCTCATCCTGTCAGTCTACCACTTGGTCGGTCAAGAACAAACAGAAGGCAGAGCAAGTCGCTCGCCGAAGTTACTCTTACGCGGGTACCTTTCCAGGCATTCTTTCTTCTGAGTCACATTTGGTTATCTCTCTTAAAGTACCGCAGCTGCATTGGCATTGCCGTCACACTTTCCATAATGGCTGATTTGAAATTTAAAAATTGAAAAAGAAATTAACAACAGTGAAAAATTGCAAAAATTTGTCGATTGTTCAAAAATTGCAAAATTGTTCATTAAAAAAAATATTTTTACGTTACTGGTGATAATGTATCTTAACATGAAAATGTTAAAATAAAAATAAAACTATACTAAAATTACAACCTATACATACGTCCCACTCCTAGGCTCAGGCAGGGGGCTTCATTTATGCCATGGTTTATTTCTAAATAACTTCTAAAATTTATTTGCTATTAAATGAAACTTTTAACTTATATTTAATGCCGTGGTTCAAAATGATCATAATGAAGAAAAAAATTACCGCAAAATATTTTTATTTTATATTTCATTGGAAGGTTACGCCTCCAGCACATGTGACAGTGACTGCACACATGATTTTTTCTACAATTCGCCCATAAGCTATATGAGTTGCTTATGGACAAACTTCAGGACCCGGAGCAACTATATGTCGGCTATACAAACACTCACGACCGTGCTTTGTGGCATTCCTTTGGGGAGGCCTATGTTTGGTAGTGGACTTGTGAAGGGCTCTAATGATGATGATGATGATACAAACACTGCCATATTGGCGTGTTTTGGCGACGTAAGAGAATCGAAAAACTAGCACAGCAAACAATACCATAACAAAGGAAAGGGTTTTGATAAATAATGACAGGTCACCAATTTAGAGTGCAAACGAGTAGAATAAGTAGAAGCGAGTAGAAAAATTTATTACAAAAATGTGATTTCTTACATATACAGAATGTTTGGATGATACCTTAAACCATATTAAAAAATCATATTATATAAATATGATTTTTAATATGGTTTAAGGTAAGGATATATAAATCATATTAAACTAAACTTAGGTTAGACCAAGTTCGCTCCCTTTCTTTTTGAATTTCTAAAGTTTTAACAATAAAACCCTTTTTTTTTCAATTAATTGCTAATAGTGTCCAGTAACATTGGTTATGTTATTATTTTATATTTATGTAATGTGTGATTACTCAAACAAAATAATTTCGAAGCATCTTCATCATCAGAAAAACATTCTACGCATATTTAAGCTATGAAACCAAAAAAAAAATTAAGGAAATGTTGTGTTTGTGCCATCATAAGAATAAATAAAATAAACTTTGTTGTTTAAACCTTTTTAAAACCTTTCTTAATTATTGTCCTTTCTTTTGAAGTATTCTTTACGCAGATTTCTCATCAACTCTTGGAATTAGAGTGTACAAAGCAAATTGCAGACGAATATTTTTATTTATATACGGATCAAAATAATGCACCATTTTTGCTAATGCACTATTGTTTTCATTGCAACTGATTAGTTTTTAGAATTTCAGTGTTCACGGATTAACTTCCGGGAAATCGTGTAGCAAAAGCCGCCGCGCCACCTAAAAAACTTGCCTTTTTTGATTCTCAGGCAGCGCCTAGTGAATAGACTTTTATTCAATAGACCAATCGGCTTATTAAATCACATAAAGTCGTTATTTTTTCACACTTATTAAGATCAGTACTCAAGTAAGCACCATCAGTTAATCAAGTAACGATTACCCTTGTGACTAGACGTTTTAATTGTGAATTCGTGTTTGTTTCGGATGTTCTTTTTTACGTTGAAGCTAGCCTCACTTGTGTGCTCCGACTATTTGTTTGATTAATCAACCATGGCTACTTTAACTAATGAAGAATATGCCAATACCGTCTTTATGGATGGTAATGGATCTTTACACGGCGGATGTACCGCGAGTGATATCCGAGTCGAAGATTACCAAATCTCAGAGTATTTTACAGCACATTTAGTCGGCTTTCTGAAGTTGGAATCCATGTCGCAAAAAGTAAATGCTTGAAGACATGGCCCAAGTGTCGAGGAAAACATTATTGCAGCTTTCGATGCAAATCCTACTACGAGCATCAGAGCAGTAGCTCAAAACCTTAACATTTCGGTATGGAAGATGTAGAATACGATGCACCCTGAAAACAAGTATCCTTTTTACGGCACGGCTGTACAAGATTTGAAAAATTAAGATCCCACACGAAGGATTCAATTCTGTCGCTTTTTGCTAAATAGTGACATTGAAGATGAACAGTTTTTAAAATCCATTGACCGATAAATCAAAATTTTCGTAGTAAGGAATTACCAACTTTCATAACCTCCATCGATGGACTGGCAAGGACAGCAAATCCACACTGGAAGAAACAAGGGTCGTTTCAAAGGAAATTTTCAGTAAACGTGTGGGCAGGAGTAATCAGCCGAACGTTGATTGTTTCCCACTTCCTATAGATAATTTAAATGGAGACAATTACATGGAATTCCTCATAAACTATCTTCCAGAGCTTCTCAACGAGGCCGAAACACCAATATTGGCAACGAAAAGACCAATGATCTTTCAGCAAGATCGTTGCCCAGCGTATTGGTCTCTAACCATGCGAGAATATTTAAATAATTATTTCCCAGAGAACTGGTAATTTTTCGTTTGGGGACGGACTAAGGAGCTCATCTACACGCATGTGGAAATATCAACCAGAGAGAAGTTAACAGTAAGAATCCATATGGCTTTTCAAGTTGAAAATGAAAATTACAACCACAGAAGTAAGAAAACAAGCCCACGTTTCTGTCAGAAATCGTGTTCAAAATGTTGAAATATTGAAAAATAAATTATTTTAACAAAAAATTTTGTTCAGAGTTGTTCGTTCGGGCTGATGTTCTTCCCTAGCTCGGGGTCACCAGTTTGGTGATGATGTAAGGTCAATCATTGTTAATCACCAATTAGAGACGAAACGAGTAGAATAAGTAGAAGCGAGTAAAATTCGGCGGAAGGAATTTTGTGTTGTTTCGGAAAACGACGGGTGCATGTGGCCACGCATTCCACGCGAACGGCGGTGGTATAAAATACCATGGCTTAGTGGGAAGCGTTCCATTTCTTCAGAGCGCTCGCGTTGAACGGATCTGCATTCCTGCAGACAATAACACGCGCAGTGTTATTGTCTTCGTAAAAACAATATCGTGCTCCATTGCTTCCATGCTGATAATATAATAGCTCTTTTCAGAGCTGAATTTTCTATGTTTCAAATGACGTCCAGTGTAGCCACAGGGTAATAAAAAACTGTGTGTGATTTCCTATTTTTCAATGTAGAGTATAAAGGGCCCAGAAAAAACATTTCGATTTATCGATTCATACTTACCAACCATAGTTATTATCCTTTACACATTCATGTTAATTTAAATACCTATTTATTCTCAGGTGACAAGCGCGACTCCTGAAACAATGGGCAGTCCCGTAACAATTGAGACCACCGTAACAATCGAGACTCCCGTCACGATCCACGCCAACGGACTGAAAACTACAGACACTAACAGGGCCACACAAGCGAAAAAGAAATATAGGCTCATAACAATGTTTTAAATAATGTTATGTATATTTAAAATCTACGTACTTTATGTCCAAAAATATAAACAAAAGCTTTGCAGATTTTCAAAGATTTTTTTCAGGTTGACAATAGTACAATTGACATAACAGAAGAGACAGTTCAGTAGACATGGGTAACTCAGTGAAATTCCTTGCGTTAACTTAGTAACTCATTAATCAGGGTCATAGAGATAGCTCAAAATTGCGCCAATGCGGCAAAAAATTTCTACACGGTATGTTTTTTTTCTTTTCCTAGTTTGGCAACTTCCAATGGATTCTGCCAGCGTCAAGTATATCATGAAAGTCACACAGAGTATTCGACTAGTTTCCGTTTCCGTAGAAATGCGTACTTTAGCTTTATGATACAAAGTTACATAGGTAGTTATTTTCGAATGAATTAACATATGGTAGTTTTACAAAATTATTACTAATGATTTCTTATATTTACGCGAACACTATACATTGATTAAAACTACTTTTACGGATTTTATCGCGTTTTATTTATATTAATTTTAATACCCGACGTTTCGGGTGCTTTCCAGCACCCATGGTCACGGGGGACGCAGGTGACTGACGTCCCGATGTCAAAGTTAACCCGGAGTACATTCAGCTTTTTAATTATTGTCTTTGGTCCGATCTACGCAGAATGAACTAACTGTATTTTGAAGTCTTGCAGTGGTATGCTTGGGTTTAGTTTTAATTTTATTAATTATAGGATCCCAATCAGCCAACATTCTACAAGCAGCCGAAGAAGGTTAGTCAGTTCTTACCATCCGTCAAGTGTCATATTCCTCTACAAGATGCAGGAGTGTACAAGCTTGATTGTGATTGTGGTCTCTCATATATAGGGCAAACAAAGAGATCAATTAGAACCCGCGTAAAAGAACACGTAGCTGACGTGAAGCATCAACGTTCCGGGAAGTCTGCAGTTTGCGATCATATTCTAGATGGCCCCAACCATTACATTAGATTTGATAGACCAAAAATCCTTGCGAAAGAACATCGATTCCTACCAAGGATGATACGTGAGGCTATTGAAATTAAAAAACATCCTAATTTCAATACAGAAGGAGGGTACTACCACCTGCTTGAGATCCTATAATTAATAAAATTAAAACTAAACCCAAGCATACCACTGCAAGACTTCGAAATACAGTTAGTTCATTCTGCGTAGATCGGACCAAAAACTATAATTAAAAAGCTGAAGGTACTCCGGGTTAACTTTGACATCGGGACGTCAGTCACCTCAGTCCCCCGTGACCATGGGTGCTGGAAAGCACCCGAAACGTCGGGTATTAAAATTAATATAAATAAAACGCGATAAAATCCGTAAAAGTAGTTTTAATCAAATTATTACTAATATAATAAATAATAAAATGGATATAGGTAAGTGGTAAAAGTACTATAATTTAATGTTATTAATGGATATGAAGTCTAATAAAGTTTGTACAAAAGGAGTATAAACTAAATTTAACAGACTTAAGATCTATGGGACGAGGGATGTTATTAGGAAGAATTGTTTAGTGAAACGGAAAAGTTAGGGCAGTTAAAAAATTTATGATCGATCGTACCTCCGTCTAATTCACACTCACAAATTGGGCTATCTTTAATCTTAAATTTTGCCAAAAATACAGATGAACAAGTGTGTCCCAATCTTATTCTATATATGACAGATGTACTATGTTTGGAGCTATTACTGAATTTAAAAAACAATGGTTTGGAGGGTATGTCAGGTTGGAGTTCTGCTTAACCCTTTGCGTGCCAGCTACGAGATAACTCGTAGTGCGGGATTTCACCATGGTGCCGACTACGAATATATTCGTAGATTTTGTAGGTCCTTCTACACAAAAAAATATTGATTATTTTGAACGTTTGGCATTAGCAAAGGAAACGCATGGTAATTTCAAACTTCAAACTTTTAATGGGAAAAAGTTATGATATGACAAACATAAGGTACTGAGTGGTAGTATAAACAAACAAAAGAAGACATAATTCTGTCTTTTTAACAGTATAAATATAATATTTAATTGTGATAAGCTTTGAAACAATCAACTACACATAAAGCTGGAGTTTTTGAACACAATGGGCAAAAATACCTTGTTTCATTGCGAGTCTTATTTTTGGTACACACAACACAAGGTTTAGTTGGCTTGTTTTTCTTTTCTGTAGGTGGTATATATTCCAAATAATGTTGAAGTAATACTTGACCACTTTGATTGACCTCTTTGGACTGCCCTGGTCTTTCTGAATAGTCGATATACTTTTGGCCTAACAAGTGGATAATAACATTTTCAGTAAAATTCAGTAGAGGTATTCTCTCCGATCTGTTCAATCCAGATTGACCATTATGTATTCTTGCAGCATTATGTATAAACATTTGAAAAATGTGAATAGCGAACTTTTTGTACCAGTATTTGGTTTTTTTCATGCTCTCATAATAGGAAATCATTTGGTCAGAGTGGTCTACTCCTCCCATTCCGTTATTGTAATCAACAACAATATTAGGTTTTAGTTTAAGTTGATTCCTGCGATTTCTGATAGTTATCATTTCAGGATTGTGCATATTTGAAATGGTTAGAACATCGCGTTTGTCTTTCCATTTGCAAACAGCTACTTCCCCCTTTCTTCTCCAAATCATCTCACCTTTCTTCAGCTTTGCCGATGTCACAACTTTTGGATTACCCTTACGGGTTGATTGCAAAGTTCCGCATAAGTAAGTTTCATTTGCACTCATTTTTCTTGTCAACTCAACGGAGTTATAATAGTTATCTGTATATACCTTGTAGCCTTTATTCAAGTAATCATCTAATAAATCTGTTACAATTTTTGTAGTTTGCCCACCTTCCTGACCTTCTGATTTGCCTGTATAAAGTTTTATCTTCAGTATTACGCCGTTACTTTCACATAGTTTATATATCTTGATGCCGTATCTATATTTTCTAATTTTTATGTAAACTCGAAAAAAAGTCTTCCTTTCCACATTACAGATTCATCTATGCATAAATCTTTATTCGGGGCATAAATATCTTGCATCAGTTTGTTGAAATGGTCTATCAAAAATCTTATTTTGTAAATACGGTCACTTTCATCAACTTCTTCGTTGTTTGAAAAATGGAAAAATCTGAATAGTATCTGGAATCTATTACGGCTCATCAAACTTCTAAAAAGCGGAATGTCATATAACTTATCCAGTATAGTGGTTTTTGAGGTAATTGCAAGATACCCATATGTAAAACAATAGCAGTAAATACCTTCATCTCGGCTTTATTCGTTTCTCTCCATTCTTTCAGTCAATATCAAATCAAATACATAGAAAGCAAAATCAAATACATATCAATCAAATCAGCATACACAGAAGGAGCTGTGCTCTTATTAGTAGCTATCTTCGCACCTGGCTCAGGACCTAAAAACTGGAAGTCTGAAATTTCCCAGGGTATATCTATCAATTCATTACTCTCGTGTTCTCCTACCAAAGGGACATTTTCTTCTGAACTCGGCTGAAGTTCTGAGTTAAACGTATCTGGAGCACCACTACTATCTAATAAAGAATAAAATTGAATAGTATTGGATCGCAATGTAATAGCTTGTTGTGTAGCTTGTGCGTTTGAACGAGACTCAGCATGTTCGCGCTCCGAAAACGAACTTTCAGCCCTTGTATCAGGTTACACATACAATTCGTCTTCATCTGTAGAAGAGAAGTCATCACCACTCTCGTCACTACTATCACAATTCGCTAAATCAGATATTTCTTGTTCACTTAATTGCTTAGCCATTTTTATACAGATAATTACTTGTTACGACAGCGCATCCTTTGCATTACGTAGCTAAACTGAATAATGTCACTCACACGCCACCACTCGGTCAGAAGCCACGTCCCGTAACCGGCCGAAACTAGTTGCACTGTTAGTTCGTGTCTAGCTCCCGAACACGAAGCAACCTGTGTGTTGCTTCCTGTTTTCCCGCCAAATTACGAAAGAATACCATTTTCTTTGCCGACTACGAGTATAGCCGTATACGAATATACTCGTAGTCGGCATAGTCGAATGGATTTATGTTCTACTATGCCAAGTACGATTTATCTCGTAGCTGCTTATATGTATGACGGCATACAGCATAAACATACGAAAATATTCTGTCACTGAAAGGGTTAATATTTACCGATAAACTTCTGAGATTTTTACAAACAGATTTCCAATCTGACATCTGAGGGATTTTCGCAAGAGAAATAAGGTCATGAGTATATGTTATATGATGCATGAGGGTACCGGATGTAGATGCTTGTATTGCTAAGGAATCGACAATTTCGTTTTCACGTATGCCACTAAGACGTGGCAGGCAAGCAAGTTTCAAGCTAATACCTTGACAAAAACATATATACAGTGCATCTTTAATTGGGAATAATTGGGAATTTCGATTTACTTCGAAACGCGTTAAACGGAATGCTTTGTAATGAACTATATGAGTCAGTACAAACAACACATTTGTTAATTTTGTGCGCCTCTATAAATAAAATTGCTTCTAAAATAGCAACAGCTTCACCAGTGAAAAATGAAGCAGCATTTCAATTTTTAAAATTTAAAATAATTTTATATTTCGGTATCCAGACATGTGAACCTACAAAACCATTATCAGAAAGCTTTGAGGCATCAGTATAAAGGGTCAACCACCCTTCCCATTTTTCGCGTAATGTACTTAAAAAAAATTGTTGGGCTACAGGGGAATTTTTAGTAACACCAAAATCTAAAATAACTGGAGGATAATAACATAGAGCTTCAGATGGATATACAAACAGAGGATTAATCGTACTTTAAAATATTGGAAATTTAAAGGTTAGCATCTTTTCTAGATTTTAAGGATGCAGGGAACGTTTTTACGAAACCAGTAGTTATTATTCTTGAAATCAAAGTTTAAAGAATGCAGTTTAGAAAGAAGTGGGTGTGAAGATTGCTGAAATATTCTATACGGGGTATTTTTGAAACGCTCCCGAAAACGAAGACAGACGATAGTACCGACATACGATACCTTTGGACTTGGGACCGAAAGAAAATGGATCCCAATGAAAAAAATCATCTTTTTACAACGTTTTATTAACTCAATTCACGCTGCAACATGTTAGTACAGCTAAATAAAATAATAATTTCATAAAAAATTTCATGAAAATACTGAAAAAAATACCAGCGGTAGAGCAACGCGGCAGCCTTTGCTATTGCACGCATGTTGCAGGGCCGGCTTAAATCGGGGTGGTACCACGACCTCACAGAAGACCAGCGTGAAGTAGAGGATTTTCTACTGCTGTTCATCTAGTGAATGCAGGTGGTCGGGGGCCCAACCCCCCCCCCCCATCAACATAGTAGCGGCATTAAATGCAAGACTACCCCACTACCCCAGGAGAATACCAGCACCCTTGGAGAATCCCTCGCCGAGCATCCACGACCAAGCTACTCCAATCCTGAGCGCGAGTGCTCACAAGCTGCCCCGCGTATTCTGGAGGGGGGGCAAAATTCCACGCGAGACTAAACCTGGGGGCTCGGGGCAAAGGGAGCAATGAGTATAAGGCGACTCCTGCCACGCTATCCGTGAATTTCTGCAACATCAGGGGACTTCATTCAAACCTTAACGCCGTCCACTACCATCTAGAAAAAGGCGAAGCCATCCTTGCTCTTTCTAGCCGAGACACAGGTGTCCTTTCCGGCTGATACTTCGTATTTCTTCTGCCCGGGGCACAAATTAGAACACTCCTTTGTGCCCCAGCCTTGAAGGTACGGACCTGTCCATAGACAGACAGCGCGTAAGCAGCGACGTCTACGGGTGCCTCTATAGGTCCCTAAGCGGTAATGCCGAAACAGACCAACTCATCGGCCACGTCCAAACGGCTACAGACTCCACGCTACAGCAGATCCAATCCGCAGAGATGTGATACGTGGTGATTTTAACGCCCACCACGCTGAATGGCTAGGTTCTCGTTTAACCGATCATGCGGGTAGATCTGTCTATGACTTTGCTTTAGCATATGGTCTGGCACAACTGGGTACGTCGCCTACGCGGATTCCAGATGTGGAAGACCATGTACTTTCCCAGTTTGACCCTCTGCTGACCTCACATCTGGACGGATATAAGGTCTCCGTCGATACCCCTCTTAGCTCCTCGGACCATTGTCTAATCTGGAGTACGGTGCCACTTACGCTCTTATCGCGCTTGTGTACTGCAGGTTGCCGCCGTGTTTAGCATTATAGGTCAGCAGATTTTTTTATAGGAGAGGGTGCAAACGAGCATACGGCTCACCTGATGGTAAGTGATTACCGTCAGCCATGAACAGCTGCAATACCAGGGGATTGCAGATGCGTTTCCGACTTTTTAAAAATGAATAGGCTCTTTTCTTGAAGGTTCCTAAGTCGTATCGGTCCGGAAAAATCTCTGGTGGTAGTTGATTTCACAAGGAAGTTGTGCGAGGAAGAAAACTTCTTTTAAATCGCTTAGTGGTGGACCGCCAGTCATCCAGATGGTATGGATGGTATCGCGAGTTTTGTCGCGATGTGCGATGGTGAAATTGTGCGGCTGGAATTAGTCCGAACAATTTCTCGGAGCAGTCCCCGTGGTAGATACGATAAAATACGCAGAGATACATCTCTTCGCAGTGCTAGTGAGTCAAGCCGATCGGAAAGAGCTCGGTCGCCGACGATTTGAACTGCTCTGCGCTGGATGCGATCAAATGGAAGGAGCTGGCACTGGGAAGCCCCGGCCCAGAGATGGGAACAGTATTCCACGTGCGGCCGAACCTGCACCTTGTAAAGTTGCAGGCGGTGAGCTGGCATGAAATGCTGTCCCACTCTGCTGAGCACGCCAAACTTTCTAGAGGCCAATTTGACCTTCTCTTCCAAGTGACCACGAAACTGCACGTCACTCGATATATCGACGCCGAAGATTCCGAAACTGGCTGAGGCAACAAGGGGAGTGCCTTAAAACTGAGAAGATACGATGAAGGGGTTCTTTTTAGCGGTAAACGCGCAAACTTGTGTCTTATGGGGATTAAACTGGACTAGATTTAGTCGCCCCCAGTCCGAGAACTTGTTCAACAAAGTCTCGACTTCAGACACAAGTTTGTTCCGGTACTCGGCTACGTTTTCCAGAGAAATATTGGTACGGCCGGTGTATCGCCGGTGTACAAAGCATCGCCAGTGCTGTCGTCTGCATAGCAATGAATGCTACCGATTTGCAATATGTCATTGATATGCAGATGAAATAGCGTTGGTGATAGCACGCAGCCTTGTGGAACACCAGCGTTAATAAGCTTGTATTCGGAGCATTCATCCGCTTTTTCTAGAGAATATTACTACTCTACTCTATGTAGGTAATAAGGAAAGACCGTTATCAGTAAGCCAAGTCAAGTCTGTAAAGTTCTTGGAAGAGTAATAGAGCGTTAGATCATCAGCATATTGTAAGACTTTGCAAAAGGAGTTAACAGAATGTTCGAGATTATGGATGTATATGTTAAATAAAATAGGGCTTAATACAGAACCTTGTGGGAGGCCTCGCTAGATTTGTCTAGGCGGAAGCAGTTTACCTTGAACTCTTACACTTATTGACCTTACCGAAAGTAAATTAAAAATAATGCGAATAATTAAATAGGGAATATCCATAAGAAACATCTTTTCTTTGAGTAAAGGGCGGACAACTTTATCATGATAGGCTGATCATACATCGAGAAAAACAGCAGCAACCGATTCTCCTCTGGAAAAACCCGAGCGTATATCAGAGGTAAAAACAGACAAGCTATCCAGCGTGCTCAGCCCTTTTCGAAATCCAAACTGTGTTTTGGCCAGGAGACCTTTATTTTGAACAAACCATTCTAGACGATTTTTAATTAAATGCTCCATTATTTTGCACAGAGTTGATAATAGCGGAATAGGACGGTAACTACAACCATCACTAGGATTTTTGTCTGGTTCTAAAATGGGGTTAATAATTTGCATTTTCAAATCATTAGGTACAATTCCTGCAATAAATGTGTTATTAATTAAGTCTAGAAAAAATTGCTTAGATTTAATCCTGAGTTAGAAATAAATGAGTATGGGATTCCGTCTATTCCTGGTGACGAATCTTTAAGGTGTTGAACAACCAATACAAAATTCTTCATTGGTTAAAAGTTCATTAAAAGGTGAATTATTAATGTTTATAAAACGCAAATATTAAATTCGTCAAACAATTCTATTAGGAGATAGCCAAAAGTATCATTTCTGCATGAGCCCCATGAGACTTGGTGGGCATTAAAATCACCTAGTAATATAAAAGGAATAATAGATTAAATTATTAAGTTTAATTCAGTAATCAGTGATGAATTTGGGTGAGGAATATAGAAAGATAGGTATGAACATCACATACATGATTACAAGCTACAACGTTCAATTCCTCACTATGTTCAGTAAGTGAAACCTTGTTAAAAGAATGTAACCTATATACTAGGATTACAGCATCGGCGTAACCATCTTTCCTTACTTCGTTAAGGCAGACAAAACCGGGAATTCGGAAGCGAGATTTCGGGTGAAGCCAAAATTCTGTCCTGAATGAATCGCCTTTTTATGCTTAACACTGCGACAGTTCCATTGAGGAATCGTAACCATGCTTATTTATATTATTTAAGAGCATCGACAGTTTCTCAAGAGACTGGGTTAAATTAGGAGGTAATCAAATTTCGAAATGGTACACATAAATGTGGATATAAGTAAATCTATAAAATTTTTGATTGGAGAAGTATCGCTATCATTATCTTTAGAGT